CGGGTTACTTGAACTTTCTTGTATGGTCCTGCCACGAATGGCGAAGAGCAAAGAATGGCGCCCGGCTCAGCTCCAAATCCCAAAAATGAAGGTGAGAGAGGCTTAAGCCTTTGAGGGGGGAAGAACTCTAGGATGGGTGAGCTAAGTACAGGGAGGCGGAGTGCTTATGTCTCATATATTACGATATTTCTTACCCAATATTGCCCTCCAGCAACCACCGGGACCCATTCTTCATTGCGTAAGCCTGCCGTCACTGTGCCCGATTCCACTTATGAGGTCAACCACTAGTGGAAGGGATGGGTATTCACAAAAGGATGTCTTGTGCGGTAGTGTTGGCCTTGTCACAGTAATGACATTATCTCAGAATGTAACCTTTCCCTTTCGAGCTCGCTAGCGTCAGATCGAGAGCAGTTAATATAATTTTTCATTATCCGCTTTGCTCCCCACATGTGATATTAAGAATCTCCGTGATTGGTCGCGCAACCACTCATATCGTTTATCCGCTCTGCAAGTCAAGTAAAGTCTCGTCGTCTAGTACAGAATGTAGTTCAAATCGTTAGCTTGAATCCGACATATCCAGCTTCGAATATTTCGCTCTATTGCCTTTTGTCAGAAAGGTATTATATTGTTATTGTAATTGTTATAAAAACACAAAGGAACTAGCTGATAATGGTTTTTGAGTAATGAGCGCACTTTTACCCAGCATTCTACCGTGGACGGATAACCATTCGAGTAGATGTGGTACGCTTCCTCGCAGTTCCTCCGAGTGTGCGACGCTACGTTTGCGGCGGGGTGGAACGTGGTAACCTTCATCAACATCCAATGTGAACTTGCTTGTCGCTTGGCTTCGTTTCCAAGCATTTCTTTTGGTTTGTCCGTAAACCTGGGTCGTATTCGCCGTGGTTGATTTGCCTCTACAACGTAAGTCTTTCAGTGTTTTACCGCTCTCTCAAAAGCGTGCAATTTGCGCATCTCCATACAGTGCGATCGTATCCTTACTTCTTTTCTACTTTATTATCTTTACTTCTGAGATTAGTGATAGTTGTGGTTCAGCGCGACGACGTAACTACTGGTGATGATGTACGGCAATCGGCTGTCAAGGAGAAGTCGCCTGGAAGTGAGGTTGAGGAAGAAGAAGAGGCTCCGCCAGCAGAATTCACTGCTTGAATGGTGCGTGAGTCGTTTTCCGTGTGCTCACACAACTCTTGTTCGGACGGATTTTGGTAGTTAGCTATTTATCATTTTCCTAGTCTTTCACGTTATAATGTTCCTCTTCAGTTCCGTCACTTGCATGATGAATGTGGACCACTGTGATACGCGTTGCTCAAAGCTCTAGCTTTGCTGTTCTGTCTTCGTCGTGAGTTCGTTCGTCTTAGAATCGGACTCGTCAATTTTAATTGTTTCTTCTTTGGTGTTCGACGATGTTTCATTACAGACAGCCGGTTCTTGTATGCACTTTTTTCTTTACTCCCTTTCTTACGCTCTTTTTATTACTACCCAATGCTGATTAATTGTGGGCCTCTCAGCAGTTTGTTTCACTAGTGTTTTTGCGTGCCCATATTTAATAGGCGTTCTTTGGTTGATCTATAGCCTGAACTTATCTTTGCCAAAATATGATTTGTTTTCGTCGTGTTGCGCTCTTTCAGACGTCATACGTTTCACTATGTTTCTTATAATTATTATACCGTTCTAGCGTAATTATACTCCTTGTCTCAATTTGCTTTCTCCTTCTTCGTTGTTAATGTATGCTATATGTATTTCTGATGCTAACAACAACAAATAGACGTGAGATTGCGCCACATGAACAAAGCCCTGAATTATTAGTTCTTGCTGCTAAGGTTTCAGTCGCCGCCCATTTGTAATGAAAAAGAAACATCGCATATAGGATAAAATCCAACACCCGAACCCAGTTGTAGAGGGTGCATTAAAGGTCAGTACTTAGTTTTCTCACTTCGTCCCTTTTCTTTCTCACTTCTACTTCTTATTATACACTGTTAATTCTTGCCGCGTTTTGATTACCTCCACAGCCTCCAACTTCAATAATAAATTCCAATGGTCGAATACATCCTTTTGCAAGAGAAACCCCCAACTTGATGTGCCGGTTTGTACCTTTCGGCAATCAGGCATCCAGAAAAGCTTGCACTACATACTCCACAACACGAGTGACGGCAGCCTCCAAGTAAACCCGGGAACTAATACTTTATAGTGATAACCGATGATTGATGAATGTTAGTTGTATAATAGTTGGTGATAACTAAATGCAGAATAAAGCTGCAATCCGGTATCATTTCGCGGGCAAAAGCTACTCCATTTTGTGAAGCCTTCTACACTTGCGTTGTGAACTCTGCAGTGGACACAAACCTGTCCGTCCAATACAAAGGTTTACAAGACTTTAGTCGACAAAGGGTGAGAAAATCTAGATGGAACAGTATACGCTTTAGGTAGTACGAAGCTGTTATAGTGGGTAAGTGTGAATGCTCCCAGAGAGCACTACAAAACGCTGAATTCCCCAACTTACAGCATACAAAGGGAACTCTCTATATCGGAAAACTAGAAGGTTGGAAGTTGTAGAAAACACACCACAAGTTACGACGGCCAACAAGACAGGAAAAAAAGCACATTCCCTTCTTTCTTGGCCGCCGTCACTTGTGGTGTGTGGTCATTCCGCAAGGTACTGCTGTGGCAGCTGGAAGGCAGGGGGATGTGGAAAGGTTTCATTCTGTCATTACTGTCATTACTGTGACAAGGCCAACACTACCGCACAAGACATCCATTTGTGAATACCCATCCCTTCCACTAGTGCTTGACCTCATAAGTGGAATCGGGGCACAGTGACGGCAGGCTTACGCAATGAAGAATGAATCCCGGTGGTTGCTGGAGGGCAATATTGGGTCAGAAATATCGTAATATATGTGACATAAGTACTCCGCCTCCCTGTACCTAGCTCACCCATCCTAGAGTTCTTCCCCCCTCAAGGGCTTAAGGCTAGGGCTTTCACCTTCATTTTTGGGATTTGGAGCTAAGCCGGGCGCCGTTCTTTGCTCTTCGCTCAATATCGTAGGCAGGAGCCATACAAAAGTTCGAAGTAAAACCGTAAACTGTGTATAGCAATAAGAGCGCATTGTCAAGGCAAATGAGATGATGAACGTAGTCCAGCCATAACCACCGATATTGGTTTCATCCCGCTAGCGCCTGGCTGTCTGTTGACACGCGCTGAGCAAGAATTCTTCGTGACACATGTGGGTATATGAGAGCCTCAAACCAGCTTTTATTTTCGTGTAAAAATGCTCATCATTTCTGGCACCTCACGCTTTGTTAGCGCCTCTGACTTGAAGTGGCACCTAATTTTCGCGAAAGCATGCTCTGTCCAAAAATGTAATAACACAGCGGAGTAATCCAGCTCCCATGCTCCCATTACAGTTGCATGATTGATTCAATTCCACGTTTTCGCATAAATAAATGACTATAAAGCGCTACTTATCTGCGCTTCGTCTGTCGTCTGTCGTGTGTCGTTCTGTATGTCTGTCACGAAATTCCCTAGCTCCTCGGGATCCGCCTGGAGGGACCGGGTCAAGTGTGGGATGGGTGGGCAGGGTCTCACGTAATACAAAACACACATCAGCTAAGCGGAGCCCCGCCCACAGAGGGCGTGGCGTGCGTCGAAATGAATTGTACCGAAGACCAAGATTTCGATTTCAGTGACAAAACGACCTCGAAACTGGGCCAAAAAGTGGGTAAAGGTGTGCATTGGTAAGTCACATCGAATTAGGGAGACCCACCCCCGGTGGGCGGGGCGTTCTCCAAAAAAGCAGTGCTTTATGAAAAATTTCATAACTCGGTTGGGAGAAAGCCTACAGAGCAGAAAACAAATTGGTGTAGGGGAGCAATGTCTAAGGTGTTCCCAGCATACATGACGTGGGCGGAGGTCCGCCCACAATGGGCGGAGCGCGCTCTGAAGTGTACAGCATTTTCTACAAGTCCTCATAATTCGGGTCGGAGAAGTCCTAAAGAGCCGGAAAAAGGTGGATAGAGGTGGGTGGGGTAGTGGAGGCCAGCTGTCATCGGTGGCGGGGTCGGAAAGTGGGCGGAGTTTGCGAAGAAAATTCATAACTCGGCTCCAAGGAAGTCCCGGAGGCCGGGAAAAAGGTGGATGGAGGTGGGTGGAGGAGTGGAGGCCAGCTGTCATCGGTGGGCGGGGCTTGACCAAAGTGGGCGGAGTTTGCGACGAAAATTCATAACTCGGCTCCAAGAAGTCCCGGAGGCCGGGAAAAGGTGGATAGAGGTGGGTGGAAGGAGTGGAGGCCAACTACTGTTGGTGGGCGGGGCTGACCAAAGTGGGCGGAGTTTGCGACGAAAATTCATAACTCGGCTCCAAGAAGTCCCGGAGGCCGGGAAAAAGGTGGATGGAGGTGGGTGGAGGAGTGGAGGCCAGCTGTCATCGGTGGGCGGGGCTTGACCAAAGTGGGCGGAGTTTGCGACGAAAATTCATAACTCGGCTCCAAGAAGTCCCGGAGGCTGGGAAAAAGGGAGTAGAGGTCGGCGAAGGAAAGGAGGTCAAATGCTATTGGTGGGCGGGGCACGCACGAAGTAGGCGGGTTTTGCCACGAGATTATTGTCCGGAAAGCAGTCCGGAGACCGGGAAAAAGATAATGGTTGACGAAGAAAAAGAGGTTGAAAGCCGTCGATGATGGAGCGGATAGAATTTAGCTGAGAATTCAGATATTCGTGGTGTATCAAGCCAAATTTGAAAATTTTCGTCGCACCATCAAAATTCGCCGCAGATCTGTGTTGCGCGCGCAATGCGTGCGGCGCCAACTGGTAATTTATAAGCGTCTGTCGCACTGCCTAAAAGCTGCAATTTGTGCCCCTCGACTGAAATAGTTGGAAAATCCATGACAATGGCTCGGCAACGCCCAATCACACTAGACAGCAGCGTTTGGCGTTTGGAGTTTAAACATAAGTTACGATCAATCACTCGGAACTTCTAGTTACTCATAGTTGAAGAACGGAACAAAAAAGTGCCTCTCAACGAAGGGACCTTCTTTAGACACCACTGGGGATTGCATCCCAAACGAGAGCAGATCGTCGAAGAGCTCAACTTAGCAGTTTGAGGAAGGGAGAACGCGAATTAAATACGCAACCAATTATTTGGAGGCAGCACGTAGCCCAGATATGGAAATGGCCGGCTAACGTTACACTCTCTCAGGGATGTACTTCAAGGGCGCATGCCAGGGAAGTAGGGCTGAAATTAATCCCTGCAGAAAGGTGTTGAAAATCGTTCACGAAACTTGAGTACGTAAACTTATACATCCTTGTTGAATGACACGCGTGGCCGGCACATTACTAAGAGATCTGGACTTTTTTTGGCCAGTCCACATGACTCTAAATCTAACTTCGATCAGGTCGGTACTTCCGCAAAATGAATTTGAGGCTTCCGTCCATATTATCCCCATCCTCCACGTCCCATTTGGTGAATCGGGTGGGAGAAATAGCGTAAGGCATTCTTCAGCGAAGAATCTAAAGCAAACACAATAATTATATGTACAAGATATGCGGTTTAAAGGTGAATGGTTAATTAATTGTTAAATACATAAGCACTTTTATAAAAGGAACGAAAAGTTGCCCCCATTTGGTTCTCAAATCGTGCCCTTTTCTTTACACTCTACGGGAGCATATATCTTCTTGTAAGATTAGCTCCAAAAAAGTAGAATCATGCAGCAGACAGGAAACCGGCACTTAAAGCTCTTAACCATAGAGGAATACTTTGTTACTAAAAGTTTTACTTTATTAATTGTATTTTATTTTATTTAGTCGTGCATACACTTGACGTGGCTAGAGAAGAATAAGCAAGAGAAAAACCTTTCTCTTTTAAACCTTCTTTCTCTTCTAGTTCCCTTTGATCCAAGTTTCTCAAAACACATCTTGCCTCTGGTAGCCAAGCACCAATTTTTAATCAAACCAATTCAACACGATGACGACTGCGCAGGTTTTGAGTTGTTGCTCCGCGTTGGACCAGAGTGATTTTGCATGCGCCACCGCCTCACATCAAATCCGTGGATTTTTAGCTTCAAAAACGCAAAACTTGAATGCGACTATATGTTTCTAATGTGATAATTCTGTCAGAAGGTACAATTGTGAAAGTTCGATTGAAAAGACGTGTTAGCACATTTACGACGACGCCCATTCTCCATCATTTTCGGTCGCGTGGGACGGACGCGATTTTGTGGGCGCCGCCGCCTCACCACATAACCGCATTTTTGTTTTGTAAATGAACAAAAACATGAATGTCACAAAATAATTTCTGCAATGTCCAATGCGTAAAGATTATCTAAACATATAACAGTAGGATTTCGATCAGAACGACAAATAGTGGTTACGAAAAGAGAGCATTTATTCACTTTCCCCGTGAAGGAATTTAAAAGCATTTTACACTCGATTACGAGGTTTGCCCACCTATCTGTCCATTCCTAGCGCCTGGCAAGCGATTATCAGTTGGCAGCCCATATGGGCTGCCATCGAGTCCCAGGAGCGCACGTTGTTGGCAGCCCATATAGAGGCATCGCGTGAAGTGGTAAGGCTAATCTTAAGCGGCAAGTTTCAACTGATTTGTGTATACCCTTCTAAATTTGTTTTTCGGGGATTGCTGCACGAAAAAAATATCTTGGCTAGAGTAACGCTTCCATAAGTAACTTTCAGGGGTGCGGGACTTTTGGCTCGTCCGGCCTGTCACGCGGCGAGTTCCGCGGCGGCACGCGCGGCGATCTGGACGGGACAAGGCTTCGCGGTTTCTTCGGGTAGAATTCAACACGTCAATGCGTGTGCAGATTGCGGATAAACTCCACATGGTTCTGCTGTTTGAAAATCTTTCTGTCGAGGGGGAGGCGGGGGGGTTGGAAGCAGCAGAGTATCGGTGAGGAGATCAGCGCAAGGAGTTTGAGTGAGGGCATTCATGTAAATGTCACTACTACCATCAAAGCAAATAAGAGTCACTAAAATTGGGAGTTTTGTTGAGGTATTTACCGTCAACTATATATGTTTTGCTGATCGAGGCGCTCACGTCCAAAGGAGAAACATTCGAAACAAAACAACAAAACAGGGTCGACGGTAGGTCACTAGGACTAAGCCCAGCACAGGAGAGGAACGCCAGGGAGAACAAAATTACTTCCCCAGAATCCCTTCTCTCCCTAAGTCTCGTCTCAAACACAAAATCCTTCACTCCGCTAAAATCTCGTCCAGCAAGGTGATTGGCTCACCCACTTCCCCCTAATGAAACGTCCCCCCCCCCCAAGACATGAGCGCCCTGATTGCCGTAACAGCACTACGCTAGTTCCTTCTTATCTCTTTCTACTGTTACAACCACCGCTGTCCTCAAAATTCCAGCCGTTCAGATGTATTTCGTATTGCAGAACCTTGCGGATTTTATCCGCAGTCTCACACGTTGACGTGTTGAATTCCCGCGATGCGTCGGGATCGCCGCACCGCTCGTCGCGCAATTTCCCGCGTGCTAACCCGGACGAGCCAAAGTCCGTCGCCCACTTCTACTACTGTTTTTTATATTCATGCTCATTAATGGAATCCAGAGAAAACGGAGAATGAACCAAACTAAAGAATTTTTAGAAATTGAGAAATCTCCGCTTAAGTGAAGAATATTCAAACATTCGGGCAACCACGCCGTTTACGGTCCGTTGTGATGTGATTATGGATTAATTCCAAAAAAATAGAAAAGAGGCAGAGCAAGTGTGAAAAAATAACTATTTGAGTGTGAAGCAGCTGTGAAGCATGCAGCTCATGCGCTGCGCATGGTCCCACACGGTGCTCAATGTGCGCAGCGCATGAGCTGCACGCTGTCGTCAACGTGTTGAAACTATCTTTTCTAAACTCAACGAGCTCAGTTTATAGCTCATGACAATGTAGTAATTTGCACTGTCAATGTTAGCAGATGGAAAAAACGCAAGATCCGACACCCCATGTGTTTCATCCACCAGAGCGCATCGGACTAATATGTTGTCTGTTGCAGGCAAATCAAAGCAATTTCTCCATGGACAATTATTCAAGCAATCCAAATCTTGAGTCGTCTTGCTCTTTAATTTATTTCATTCAATATTCAAGCACTGAATGTAGCACTCACTGTTTGTGGGTCCCTATTTTCAGCTAGCCTTTCGCGTACAAAGTCGACCACTTCTTGATTGCTGAGTACGTCCCAGATACCATCACATGCAAGTACTACGAACTCGTGATCTTCTGTCACGTTCTCCGTGATCACATCCGGATAAGCTGAAATATAACAACGAGAGAATTCAAACATGAGCACATGACTGTGTTCAAAGCTAAGAAAGCCGAAAATGTACAAGTTGCGCTTATTGCAAGCAGTAAACGCGCTTTGTAACTCTTCGCAATAAATTGCACACTGGATAGAGACATGAAAGACGAAGCGGTTAGAATATCAGTTGACAAAGCAACTGTGGAAATGCAAGCCTGTTTAATCGATCTGCCATCGAGAAATAGATTCAATGCGTTTTTGGAGTCCATTTAAGATGTAGGAACCGCTTCATCAGACTAATTTGCGCCACGTCACCTTGGAAGATCTAACACAACGGTTGAGAGAAACGTAAGAATTTTGTCCACGATATGGGTTGCTACCAGGGTAAACAACGGCTGGGGAAATCGTCGAAAGGGGAGTCGTTCACTCTGAGGTGAGGTTAGGGGGTAGTAAGCAGGACCAACAACGTTCACAACGGTGCTGCTGCCACCCACTCGTTGTGTCAACACTAATTTTAAAAATTGTTTAGTTGGTTTAAAGCAACTAAATGAAAA